CTGAATTCACTGTAAAACATACCAAAGACATTAAGCACTATTTTGAGGTTAAGTAGTTGCGTACAAGAGCTGTAATTGAAAGTAAAAGCAATACAATCACGAGCGAAGGCGACAACTGCACACTTTGTTGGATCTAGAGGAAGCTATTTCCGCGTATGCCATTCCTGAATAGCTTCTAAGAACTCGCTTTGTATTATTCAACAATCAGCATGGGTGTTCAATGCATTGCTAGATCTTCGGATCGACAAGGCACATTGAGGAGTTTCAAGGAAATTCATGAACGATGACTTTTAAAAGAATAAAATATATGTATGAGGTACTGTTATGTAGAATAATGCAGGAATAGCGATAAAATTATAATGGCGTAAGTTATTATTATAAAATAGAACCGTGAGACCAGTTTCACATTCGAGGGACTCTTTAGCTTTATAACCCATGAGAAGACGCACAGTGATTTTATGCGATTATATGAAGGAGCTTCGTTAAATTTCTAAAATCATTAATTCACTTCTGTGCTGCTTTATTGTTATAACAGAAGTTGTTAGAAGTTGCTAGAACGAGAGAGATAGAGAGGAAAAACAAAACAATAAATTTGTAAAATGCCGCCAGAGGGACTCAGGTAAACATAGATAACTTCTCACTCAGGGCTGACAGCAAATTAGGAGAAGGATAAGAGAAATTTTATCTTTTCTATCAAGATCATAGCGGTACCGTATAAAAATGTTCCAGGAACGAGCAAAGAGGAAAGTTGCTTAAAATATATTCGATACATGCATGAGAAATATAATTTGAAAATGTATTATGATTCCAATACTCGAACGAGATCTTTAACTCCGAGATTTCTTCGCAGCTGCTTTTTCAAGATATTTTATAACTATTCGTCGAGTCGAAGCATTCGGTAATGTTACAAAGGATTGATGGACAATAATTCTTGAGTAAAAAGTATTTTTGACAATTCACTTATCTGAACATTTTATAGATGAGATTAGGATGTATCAAGGATACTAATAAGTGTATAAGCATACGAATTAAAGTATGTATATTATAGTCGGTCTCCAAAATGCAAAAAATTAACTTAGAGTGACAGATAGAAAAATGCGAAGCATCCAACAGGACTTCCTATTGCCAATGTTTTCTTTTTACCAAAGGTAACTTATTGTAAATCAATATAAAACCATTAATTACCTTTGGCAAAGGAGCATTGGCAATTCAGAAATTTTAATAGTAATTCCTAGTACGATACAAGTGTTACCATGTGTCACTTTAAGGTATTTTACTCGCTAATCAATTATATAAAGGGAATTTATTATTAATTATTATTCATGAAAATTAAACGTAATAGTAGCTACATGTTGCAGTGTAAAAAATATCTTCAGACACTTGTATTCCTTGACTTTTGTATTTTAGCAGAAAATCATTCATGCTCTGTTTCTACATTCATTTTCTGATTATGAAAAATGTATCAAGCATGAAATAAATATTCATTTCCATTACTATATCTCTGAGTTATTCGGACGTTCATGAAAATCTCTCTCTCTCTCTCTCTCTCTCTCTCTCTCTCTCTCTCTCTCTCTCTCTCTCTCCAATTCCTGCTTCACAACTTCCTTAACTCCTCACTTTTCGATCTATTCGCAACGCTCCTCGTGTATCAGCACCCTTCGTGTATCACGAATACGAATCCAGCTTCTAGGGCATTTCGCCAAACGGGCGTAAACAACGCAAATTAATTATTGCTATATCCCTTTGGCCTCTGGCCAATCGTTTTTAAGGTACTCCAGTCTTAATGAGTAAACGCTCAGTCACTTCCGACCTGAATAAACCAAGTTGGTTCGACACCTGATTCGTATCCGCTCAAAGCCTGGAGCCAATGTAATGTCGGTTGTAGTCAATCGGTATCGTTTCGAAATGAAGTAAGAATTATGTGTGGATGAGGGTGTGTGTACTGATCATCTGTACTGGTCGAGAATATTTGTTCTAGTTTTTATTTTGTATTATTTATCCGTTGTATTAATATTATTATTAATGTGTAAAATTTTGATATTGCACAAAATATTTTTTGATCACGTATCGTTTCGAAGACTTTTATAAACTTTTCCTATGAACAAATTTCGCAATAGACTCTGTGCTTCTTGAATTATTATAAAATTATTCAAACTGCATCCTTGTGCTGTTTCACAGCTGACAGCCATCTTCCTTAGTCTTGGGAACATTATAAATGTCCTGGACGACTCCGATTTACGGAATCAGAACGGCGTGACTCGCCAAAAGTTTGCGCAATTTATCAAAACCGCGACGCACCCCGTTTATGGTACGTAGACACGTCTCTATACGTGCATGTTCCTTGGCGACCAAAGTAAAGAATGCTCTTCGACGGAAGCTTGAAAATTCACCTTAAACGTAACGAGGAACTCATACCTGTATAAAAAGTCAATGTAAATGGTCGCGATAAGTCATTGAGAAAGAAAACTCGTATCGTTGTCGAATACAACTGTTACTTCGACGAGCAATGTTTGACATGTTTCTATGGAAAATACAATAAAGCAGATACGAACGAAGCGTTTAAATTTCTTTCATCCATTTTCCCTGTGGAATTGACGATTTTTGGTTTACACGAGTACCAGAAACTAAATTGATTCGCAGATCTTTATATGACGACATCGCCTGTGAACTGAACGTGTATAATCTACAGTCGATGATAAATTTATCTTTATCAAATGATACTAATGTCGATAATGATTTTCGCTCAATAAAAACGTGCAATACTATCAACTTTATTTGATAGACATGGTTGGAGCAAACAACATGGTAACTGCATTAGTCGTGCCATTAATAATTTAAAATCAGATACTCGATGAGCGCAAAGAGTTAAATTGGTGATTCAGTAAAACAGAATATAATTGAAAATGACAAAAGAAGTTTCACCTCTTTTGATTTTCTAATTTGTAGACTGAAGCTTCCTTATTAATTTTTTTCAATCATTTTTTTTTTCTTTTACCTCATTACTATTTTTTTTTAATGTAAAGGAGCATGGCATTGGCGTAATGAAAAATGTGTAACGATAAGTACAGAATCTATGCTATAGATCCCAATGCTTAACTGTACATACAAAGTGATAGCATTTTTGAGATGACTATTTGAAAGTTTGGCAATGCGTTTGCTAAAATTGGAATAAATTCGGTTTTTAGCGGAAAGAGTGAAAATTTTGTGAAATTTCAGATACATTCATTTTTTCACAATGCATTTCGAATTCTGTCCTCAGAAGTGAACTGACGTAAAAAATGTAACAACATCGTCACAATTAATAATCACGCGAATGCTTCTCGATTGAAGGTTATTGAGGATCGTTTGAGGTTAAGAGTCTAGAAGAAAATGTATAAACTGTCGAATGATCTAGTAAAAAACTAGTTTACCGTACTTAAAAATCATTGCGCAACTGCCAGCTAAATTAAAGCTTCTTGAAAAGAAGAAACAGGCCAATAGAAAGCCATCTTCTTCTTTTCTTGACGCTACGAACCTACGTGTTAGCTTGTGTGAATTATATTCTTTATATGGAAAATACTGAACTATGTCCTTATAAAATGTAATGTTTATATAGTACGGTTGTCAGAAATTTTTATATAATTTAATTATTTGCTTCGTCGTTGTAAATTTTCAAGTCAGCGATAACAAAGTAATTCTAACTTGTTAAAATCATCGTCAGAAGTCATTCGATATTGAAGACGAACTTTTTATGTAGATTTTATTGCAAATATCGAATTTACGTTAATTATAAGAATTTTACCAACACCTGGCCACAAGGACCATCGATGTACTTGGACAGTTTCCAGAAGTACGAAAACTACAGGTACGCAATCGTGTTTACGTTGAAGACAGTTTCTGCAGAAAGCTTTCAGGTCTACGTGACTTTTGTCAAATCTACAACGAGCGACAGGCGTTACGCAACCTGTGGTACTAATTGATGGTTTATCTTTACGTCTATTCTTGAAGTTGACCCACTTGTCAAAGGCTTTAAAGGAAATAGGATTTCTATGCACAGCACGAACTGATCGCTGCCTACATTTTTAGATACATTGACAAATGCTAATTCCCAGACTTAAATCAATCTTTAATCAAGGATTTTTTGCACCAACTGTTTATTAGCGATACTGGCCGATTGTGTTATCGTGTTATTTGTCAGACATTCAGGCGCTGCTGATAGTGACTTATCTCGGGTTCTTGGAAGAAGTCATTCGCTTCTCGATTGAAGCAACAGTGTGCCATGATACAGATCAATATCCCTGATAATCGTTATCGTGTATCCTTGCTGGATTAAAAGTCTCTAACCAATTTCATTTACCTATATATAAACAAAATTATGTGTAATTTTTTGAAATTGAAAAGAAAAAATGACTACACTTTATTATTTTCGATCTGTCAAAAAAAAGCATTGGCACAGTGCACTATATGAAACACGGCTATTAGATGATGTTAAAAAGATTATTTTTCAGCTTGTTAAATACATACAAAGTCTAATAATCTAAGGTTCACCAATTGTATCTCATATGGAAATGATTTGTCGCAAATCTTAGTTATATCCTTTAGTTTCAGATCGAGCAATTCCAAAACACGCTTTAACAATTTCAATTTTAACCAGTTCAAAACGGAACCGTATAATTCATGTTTTTTCTTAAAGCATTGAAATTCATAAAACTTGAGTCAAAATTGTGAAGCGAATTAAAATATTATTTTAATATAAAAAACATTTATAATAATAACCGATAACTTCTTCAAGTAGAAGCAAACTGCACTATTTGTTTAACTCAGGAGGCGATACAGTGAAATACACAAGACAGTTTCATCTCAATATTGTTTAAAAACAAAATCAAATCGCAATGACTTTTTCGAATTAAATGTACTCAAGTTACGTTTTGCTGTACTCATTACACAGAGAAAGATATTATTTTGTGAATGATAATATATGACTTATAGTCCTTTCCCAAGGTCCGGGAGAAGAGACTCACCGTTCTGGTACTAGATGCTCGAAATTCGAAATATTCAATGGGGCACTAACTTCCATAGGCCATCTTGAATTCTTCCGCCGGCAAATGTTGGATCTCGTTGGCTGTTTCAGTGACCAGCTTGGCATCTACATTGCATAAACTCTATATTATTCTTGGCATCTGCATTGCATATTCCACAGAAATGTATGGTTCTCATTCGAACGGACAGCCAAGACGTGCATGATGTCTTGGCGGATGTCCGGATTCAATGGATTTCATATATTGGATCCGAAATGGAAGAAACTCTATTCATCGTTTTTTTTACACTCCTGCCCATTTCCTTACCATCGTCCCTGAAGAGTCAACACGATAATAAATTCGAGTTATCGAGTTATCTCGAAACATAGTTCTTGTCTTTTATGAATTCAACGAAGCATGACATTTTTTTCTAACCTACATTTTTTTTTATAATTAGCATAAGACTCAATAGCATTGGTCAGTCACGGATGAAATATAAATATAGAATTAAACACAAATCAGTTATCTTTGATTAAATTGAAGTATAAAGGCAAATGAAAATAATAGTTATCATTAAATAATATTTTACCGGAAGTTCGTCCTTGGGCATCATCATCGTTCGTGAAAATGTCGATAATTCCTCAGCTTCATTTATCGAACTCTGAGAAGCCATTTTGTTCTCAAAGATGTCGAAATGATCGCCAGTTGATCGCTTCCTGGGTAACGACTCGACCTGTTTCATGCAGAACGGTATTAAAGGATTAGTTCGAAAGTCTGGCGAGACCTCTTGAGGATGAAACAAAAAATTCAGACTCCGCCCATCTTAAAATTTTATGAGGTCAATAAATTCAATGACCTTTATGACCCCAAATGTGATATACATACCAGCTGACTGGTACGTGTACACAAATACGTACGATCCGTACAATACGTTACAGCACATCATATTATAACGTGATTAACCATGAGAGTCCAGTACATTCTTTTTTTTTTCTAAACGATTCATCCTTTTTAATAGAACAGCATAACGATGAGATGACCTTTTGGTATTGTAATAAGTAATTCGAAACGGATACGAAATATATCATGAGGATTATAAACTATCAATAATCATTTCGTTACAGTAAGATTTATATGTACAGTGCTATTCGGAAGTATTGCACGAACTGAAGTTGGCGTTTGTTCATTCGATTCATATGACAGAACTACCTTCAGGTTGTGTAATAGTAAATACTAAGAAGAATTGATATGGAATTGTTTAAGTTCGTTATTTTCGATCAATTGCTTTTTATATAAGCTTTTTATTGATAGGATACGAAACAAAAGGAAAATATCACCCGAGTGTATTATTTCGAAAATTTTGCGCGTTTCATTCGATTTTTTTGAGGCCACTGAGCACTATGTTTTCATTTCACCGCGCACTGTGAGATATACGATAACTATCACCACGATCATCATCAGTATCCCGGTGGAGATAATCCAATTAATGAAAATATCACAATAGCAATTGCAGGTCATATACTCATTTTGAAATGCTGTGCTCGTTTATAACGTAGAAGTTTTCATTGCCGGATCACGTGACGATAATAAACTTTGAATATAGAATCGAAAAGTCGTAAAAAATATAATAAAATTATAAATAGATGAATCCAAACTATAATAAAGTCAGACTCGTCAGCTACTATTTACCTTTTATATCCATTAATAATATCAAATATGGATTACTTCGATTTCAAGTAAAATGCAATAATTCTTACTAATAATGTAAATTATTAATCGTTACACCTCTCAACTACGTCCTTTCATGATATCGATGTAATGTTATTATTTGATTATAAAATATTTAATATTGCAACTGAAATTGAAGTAACCTCCATTTATTGATGTTTTGCAATATATTCTCAATTCTTGGTATATTATATGAATAAGAATGTTTTATATGAAAGTTTAACCGTAGCATGTAGTAGATGACGACGTCATAGAGGTATTTTATAAACACCTTACACTATTGACCGTGTAAAAATTCGTTAGCGACCGTTATGAAAGGCTATTATATCAAAGTCTGGAACACATCACTCGCGACTAGTTTAATAACAGGCCATCCGGAAGATACGGTTAAAGTTAGAATCATCTATTTGTTGACAGCGTTCAATTTTAATCATTCGATAGCTCCTACGATGATATTTAAGGTGCGGTCGAATGATTTAATTTAATAAGACATTTACAGTTTTGAGAATTTTTACTTTGTGCGACAGTAAAGTGACACCTTTTATATCTTAGTTCAGATGACGGTAGTCTGTATTTCATAGAAATGAATACACAAATAAATATTCGTTCAAGAATATTTTTGTGGAAGAGAAAAAGTTCCATTTGCAATCAAGTGGTCTGATGTTAATGTACGATTATGTAATACTCATTCAAACATACCTTTTAGGAATATCAATAAAGTATCACCTAACTCCTGCGAGAATGGAGTTGCATGCACAAATTCTTTTTATGCGAATTGATACGGGTCTATCGTTTATTTCACTGATTGAAGAAAACAGTGTTGGTAACGTTACTAATGGCGCCACCTTGTAGACGCTCTGGTAAGTGAAGTTAATACGAATCTTCCGTGAGACTCGAAATAGTTACCGTTATATGATAATATTCTATTTTTAGTACAAAACAAAAATATACGGGGAATATAAAAATTGTACATTAGCGAGATATACAATACAAATATGAAAAAGCTTTATGATTGGTCATAACGTATAACTTTGTATTCTTATGTAAGAAAATGTAGCTATCAAATCCCGACATCGAGCTCTAATATATCCCCAGCAAATACAATATTGCCTGTTGTAATATTCCATTTATTTTCATAACGTCAATATTACAAGTGTTCTTGTAATATCGTGTTTGCTGGGATTACATGCAAATCGATGTTTCCATGGCAACGGAAAATATGCTTCAATATTCATTGCCAGTACTGTGACAATAGTTGTTTTTATCATATGCATACAGGTAAATAAGGACACAATATTATTTGTAGTGCTGGCAATGAATTTCGGAATGTGGGTCACATTGTTTGTGCACAAATGTAAATTCTGTGCATTTTACTTATTAATGTACGTGATAGCACAACTTACTCGTGCGTAATAGTTGGGGGACTTGACTCTAAAGAGTCAACCAAAAGGAAAAAAGGGAAGACTAAGATTTCTAACATAAGGATTATAGTTATGCGCATCTCAAATCTCATTTGATGTTTAAAAAAAAATATGAGTCTCATCTTCGATTATACTATAAGACAGCTAAAACCACTTGAATATCTTTCCAAAAATGGATTAAAGAAAACTTAAAATCTGTGTTTCAACTCCAATCAAAGATTAAATTAAGGAAGTGGTAGTAGCTCACAGGCGGACAAGTTATTAAGAATCTTCATTGGTTCGTTGCGACTTGACCGACTACAGTTGGTGATGTAGAATTAGAATTGTGTACGTCAGTGATTCCCCGAGTTACCTATACTTGGTGTCCTCTTCGTTGCCTTTAGTGGAATTTTAGTTTACTGTGAACAATTTAATGATGGTTAATTACTTCGTCGATTACTTCAGTCTTCTGGCATGATAACACGGATATTTCGGTTTCCACATTGATAAAAAACTATGCATCACTCGTCTTGTTCATGAAATGTTGGTTTTCTTTTGATATGCCGTCGACGACTACAATTAGTGACAACATCTAAGTTACTTCTCCGATTATGTTTTTACCTTGAATGAACAGGGCCATCGACAATTTCTTGCACTCGAACCAAATCTTTGGTGGAAATAACAGATGTTCTGTTGCCGATTATTGCAGTTTCTTGCGTATGAACGTGACCGAGATCTGGAGCGTCCTTGTCTTTCTCTATCTGGTGTATTGATGTTACTCATTGCTTTAGTTAATGCATCCATCTGCTGCTCCAATACTAGGATCCTGCTGTTGATATCAAGTGTGCTAATTGACGATGTAGACTGTTCCATACCAGGAATACTAGTTGTTGGTCTGCTCACATCATGAATCTTGTCTGCCATATTGGCAAGCTTAAACAAATCATCTTCCTGTATTGCCAGGATAGCTTGAATGTTCAGAGGCATTCTTTGCATCCATAAGATGCGCAAAATTTTCTTGTCCACCTTTCCTGTAGCAAGAGTATTCATTTCTCGTAGCAGCTCTGAAGGACGCTTATCCCCTAGTTCAATTTCTGTGAAAAGTTTACGAAGTTGCTTTTCATCGGAGTCAGTAAAGCAAGTCATGAGTTCTGTCTTCAGAGCAAGGTATTTATCCCTTTGTGGAGGTGATTCTATGAGAGCTGCTACTTGCTGTAGTATTTCTTTATCAAGATTTACAACTATGATATGATACTTCATGTCATCCGAGTAGATCCCAAACAAGGAAAATTGTGCTTCAACTTGAATAAACCAAAGTGCTGGATTAGCCTTCCAAAATGGTAGCAGTTCTATGCCCTCAACTTCAACGATTTGTGATTCTTCATCCAATAGTTCAGGACAGTGTGCTAAATCTAATGAATGGAGTTTTACAAATCCAGGCGATGTAGCTGTGGAAGATCCTGAGACGGCAACAGCAGTAACATTATTTTCAGCATCCTTAGTGCTGCATGTTGCTGAGTTTGCTTGTATAAATGGTAACAGTTTTGCCCTCCTAATTTCTTGGACCCCCAGTCTTCCTTTTGATGAACCAGAACAGTTTGCCAAAGCAACTGAATCAGTTCTTATAGATACAGATCGTGCAGTTACATGTTCCTCCATAACAAGAAAGGGATTAGCATTTTTTTCAGCCATTATTTTTTTGTAATGTTTGGTATTATTTTTCAATTATCAGATTGGGAGCTCCAAGGTGCAGCCGAATGGTTTGAACCTCTAATGCGAGGACTATGGAGATTAATGCATATCAAGTAAACAAGGTGAACTCTAAACTTCAGATCATATAAAAATATTTTTAAATATAATACTTGTCTTAAATACTCCTGGTAAGTAGCTAAATTCACTTGACAATCTTCTTTTTTCCACATAAGACTAAAAGAAACGTTTACTTTGTATTTGTTCCAATTATCCAATGACTGGTAAGTCTGTTTCTTTATTCTGTGGTTCCGTTCTATGTAAGCAAACTGTCTCATTCATTCTACAATGGGACCTTTGTCTGGAGTCGTTAAAGTAACATGTTTCTATTAGCTAATCGAAATAGCGACAAATCAGAGATGATAAATCTGATTGGTTAGCAGAAATGACTGATGACAATGACGTCGGGCGAACGTCTCATTTTAGAATGAATCTTACTTCTGGTTTTTCTTCATTTTCCTTTGTGCGAATTTATTTATATGTCTTATTTCCGTTGAGCCTTGTTATACTTGAAACGTTTATAGTATATGGTGGTTTGGAGCTTATTGCACATACATTGAGTTTCAAGTTCAACTGCCAGATTTTCCATCTGACATTAGATCTCGTTTACAAAATAAAACCAATCAAAAAGAAGATTTCAATAATGTTATGCTGATTATATAAAACAATATGTATATTAATAAATGTATATTGAAGAACTAAGACTACGTGTTCCTGTTTACGCACAGTACATTTAGTACGATCCCTTAAAAATGGTATGAATTACATATGTGGCTCATACATACAAATTATAAGTGATCGGTTAGTAGGCTGTGATGTCCAAGGACTGATTCTCTTTCGCCTGTTTTTTTTTGACGCGTTTCAATGCATAATCTCGGTTTAACTGTGCAATTAGATACTTGCATTTTCAAAATAAGCGGAGTTTATGCATTGAACCGCGTTGAAGAAAACAGGTTTTTAACATTCGTAGGAGAATGTCAGATCCAAAATACATACATTTTAACTGTGGACTGATTAAGTCTAGGTAATTATTCTTTTGTCAGACTCACAATGAAGGATGGCGTTTCTGCCGGTTCACTCGAAGGAAGTTCGATATTTTCCAAAACTGGGAATTCTAGAATGACTTCGTCGGAACACTTTTCTTCACAGATTTTATGTTGATCACTTGAAACAGGTGGTGACGGTTCTTTTCTCTGTAATGGAACAGAACGGCAGGCCCATGCATCCTTCGGCAATGTTTCCTGCTCCTTATCACCGCTCCAAAATTCTGCAATAGTAGCTGATGTTTCTCCAGGATCGTAATTGAGATACATCCACTATAAATATTAATGAAATTAAAAATAAAAATGTTAACGTATTAATGAATTATAGCTAACTAACATTGAAAAGTTGCTGTAAAGCCTGATGGGAACAATGCACGACGAATTTATAAGACGTTTCTTCAAGGTACTTTTTGTAAATTATATCCACCGCCGTTTGAATGATCAACTCGAGAGCAAAATTCACCACGTGATCTGTGTATTCTTCCTGCTGAATTTTTTGCCATTTTGCTTCAGAAATATTTAATGGCAGAGGACCACTTTCTAACCAAACACTTTCGTCGTCAATCTCCATCATTCTTAAATTAGAATTCGTTCTCCTATCATTTCTGACCGATCTTCTGCTGTGTCTTCTCGGTGCGTTATTCATTAATGATATAGAATGAAAATAGAAGAGAGAATTAGTTTTGTTAATCTTTGTTGGAAAAATAATAACTTTTTCAACCTCAGCGCGGCGACACTTACACTTTTATGAAGATAATAAGTGAAATAAGATTGTAATAAATATTATTATTATTATCTATGTGTAATCGAATATAAAAATATATTATTATAGGTATGAACAAATTTTATATCTATAATACCTTTTGCATTGTGTAGAATGAATATTTTCGTTACAGGAAGACGCGTAAATATGCGCTTGTCAGAACACAATAAATTTGATTAACAGTAGACGTGCCATCTCGACGGGTCGTATGACCCTTTTAAAGTAAAAAATACGTTTATAAAAATTATTGGTGTGTTTAGTGTTAAATCTTTTTTTTCGTAATTTCGTAATTTCATATTTTAAGGCAGTAATATAACATTCATCGAATACGACTATGCTTTCAGTTTTATCAGTTTTCAAGAGTTTACACTGTATTAAAGATAATCTTTAAATATCGTATTATTAGCAGTATTGTACATACTCATGATCATGACAATTCTATTGTTCCTTGAACATTAATGATTATGACGAAGATTTATTACTGCAGATAAGCTATGTAAATATTCTTACAAAGGCAGATAACGGAAACCCAAGAAAATCCAAGGAAACCCCCCCAACCCGACCCCACCGATTTCAATAATTTTTTGATATGTTGTAGTACTCGACAAAATAAGAGACACGTCTTTTTTTTTTTGTGCTGACATCCACTTTAAAGGGGTGAAAACGACCCTTGAAATTCACCCCCTGAAAATCGTTTTTTCATCATATCTGGACTTTTAATTAATATTTTTTAATAAAACCAAGTGGAAAATATTTGTGATAAGAAGTCGAAGATATGAGGTGTGTTTATGACCCAAGGGGTTGCAACCCTTATTTTATATTTTGAAAAAACTATATTTTTTATGCTTTTTTCTGCATAAAAACCGGGGTATGGGCTCAAAAAAATAAAGAATTGGCTCATAAACACACCTCATATCTTCGACTTCTTATGACAAATATTTTCCACTTGGTTTTATTAAAAAATATTAATTAGAAGTCGAGATATGATAAAAAAACGATTTTCGGGGGTGAATTTCAAGGGTCGTTTTCACCCCTTTAAAGTGGATGTCAGCACACAAAAAAAATACGTGTCTCTTATTTTGTCGAGTACTACAACATATCAAAAAATTATATGTATGTCGTATATGTATGAAGTTAAGGAGCTTGTTACATTCATTAACGTACATACATATACATCATAGAAAAAGAGGCGAACCACTAACATTGACGTCAACATCGACACCGAAACAAAATATTCATACTGTAAAATGTTATGTTTGGTGGGATCAGAAGGGCATATTGTTATATGAGTTGTTAGAACTTGGAGAAACTATTACAGACGATCGTTACAAACAACAATTAATTGCATTGAACCGGGTATTGAAGCAAAAACGCCCTGAATATATAAAAAGACACAAGGTATTTTTTTTTGCACGATAACGCAATTTGTTGCGAAATCGGTTAAAGAAATGTTGAAAGCGCTTCGCTGGGATGTCCTATCTCACCCGCGGTATTCACCAGACATCGCTCTTTGTGACTATCACTTGTTTCGGTCAATAGTGCATAACCTGTCACAGGTTATGATTGCTACAAGCACTTTCAGTCTTATGAAAAAATCGAAAAATGGGTCTAAGATTGGATTGCTACGAAGGATATTCAATTATTTTACCGCGGAATCCATATGTTGCCCAAAAGATGATAAAAGGTTATCGACAGCAATGAACGATACTTTCATTGAAATAAAATTAATATTCTGATTATAAACAATAGTTATTTTTAATAGAAAATCCTTTAAAATTAAGTACCACACCTAGTAAATAATAAATTGTGGTTCGTTTACGATTATTTTATTACAGACAAATCCACATTATTGCGTGCAGGATAATCCGAGTGAAATGGGAACAGTTTTATATATTTTAAACTAAAGCGAAAAGTTTATATCCATATTTTTTAACAATTTTGTACAACTTTCACCGAAAAAGTTTAGACACAACAAACATTTTGTAAAAAATCACTACTTTAAAAATTAAAGTATATGTATAAGCAAACTCCACATTTCCCATAATCTAATCCAATCCAGCTACTTATAGTAGCTCACATATAATACAATCAATAAAGACATTGTTTAAAATAAATCTAGAATAATTATATATCAAAGTAATTTATTTTTTAAATAATGTTATTTACATTGATAAACTTGTACAATAATACAACAAAGCTTCAGTTTATATTGAAAACTTTATATAATATACAAATTCAAGCGGTATCTCACTGAACACCCGTAAAATCCGGTCCTTTCTGTAAGAATTATATTCCACAATAAAACTTTCGGGTACAAAAGTTTGTCGAGTACAGAAGTGTTGTAAATTCCTCTCCTTGAAAGAGACTAATATTTCCATCTTACATTAAGATTCACACAGAAAAAGTATTAAAATCATATTATTATGAGAAACATATAAGTCTGCATATTGTATGATCTGATACCAGCTCATTGATTTAATTGTATTTACAAAATTGTATGTAACATCTTCACTACTCTTTTGTATTATCACTGCTGGTTATGTTTAATGATAATTTAATTGTAATTTAATAATTAATCCTTCAAGTACAGACAGAGTCTCCCAGGCGACGTAAATATATCAACTCCTTGAGACTTTCAAGAAATAGATTTTACGGACATCCCACCAATTTGTACAAAATGTTTGGATTCTAAGCAATAGATAGCGGCACGGTTAAAAGGACCAGTGTGCGCTCTATGTGCGAGTATTATTTGTATTAAGTCAATCCACAAGTTCAATATGCTATTTTGACAGTTCTAAAACGATAAAATTTCTAGCAAGACACACGTTGTGCAATTATGTGCAGGCAAGGTTCTGCATATAATTTCTGTTACAAAGTACGTGTGTGCATGGTCTTGCACTGAAATTTATTTTTTCTCCTACTTTAACATGCGTTTCCGTGATTTTAAGGAGAGCCATGATATTAATGATTGCATTGTTTGAGATCGGTGGGTTTCCGTGCATTTTTATATTTCTCACTTAAATAACCCGAAACACAGAAGCAAGAGTTGATTCGAGTAGTTTTCGGTCAGCTGTTGCTTGTACCGCCGGTTGCCTATACTTGGCGCGAGACTCGACCGAGTCTCTTGATCTTAAAATGTTCTCTAACAAGTAGTTGTTAGAGTTGTAAGCATTAGTAGCGCCATCTATTAAAATTCTTGAAAATTAAGTATCGCCCTTAATACTAATCTGTATTACCGTCAGAAGGTATTCTCAATACTGTATTATCTCTATCGTCTATTTTGAGCAATCTTAAGCAATCTCGACAGCGGCTTCGAGTTAGAAGCTCGCATGTTTCTTTAAAAGTTTTCAGCAGAGAAAAATCAATTTAAATGAACAAGTTTTTATAAACTTTATTGTTGAGAAATAAAAATGTTGGTGAGAATATCCAAGACGTCGCTGACGACGGCTATCAAAAACAGGTATTAAATAAATTTTCGTTTGTAAACGTTTGAGCAAATTTATTAGACTTAACCTTAAATCTTTGCTATTGAAACTAAAATTAATAAGTCATATAAATTGTCATACAATTTAAATGTACTCTGCCGTTATCCTAACGCTTAACTTTATATATGATTATTAACAGAAATTGAGTGACGTATAACAATTTTTTGGTTCATTTATTCAATTTTCCATAACAGTATGCTACAGTTATTTATCAATATTTGGCTATATATGAAGAAGAAAGAGTATATTTATTTGTTCATTTGATACATATGGAATATAATACTTTATTAATGTTTTTTTCAGTTCTACCCAAGCAAAACATTTCAATTTTTGGCAAAAATGTTCCTTATCCTCGCAAACAAAATCGACTGTCAATATCCCTTCCAAAGAGAACGTAACTCCATTTCCACCATTAACAGAACCAATACCTGATCTCCCTAAACCAATTTATTCAACTGCTAAAGAAGAACATCAAGTAACCCAGATTAGTGTTTTATCAAATGGTTTAAAGGTTGCATCAGAAAATCGTTTTGGACAATTTTGTACCATCGGTGGTAAGTATAGTGACATTACATCAGTTTTACTGTTCTTTGAACAATACTTGTTTACTTACATATATTTGTTTTCTGATAATATTTTCCAGTACTAATTGACTCAGGACCTCGTTATGAAGTAGCTTATCCTAGTGGGATATCTCATTTTCTTGAGAAGCTTGCTTTCAATGTAAGTCATTGATTCACATATCAAATATAAATCCCATTAGGTTAAAAGGTTTGGTAAACTAACCAAAAAAATAATTCTTTTACAGTCAACCAAGTCATTTGATAGTAAAGACACAATAATGCTTGCTCTTGAAAAACATGGAGGTATTTGTGATTGTCAAGCATCGCGAGATACTTTTGTTTATGCAGCATCAGCTGAACGTAATGGTCTTGATATGGTTGCCAAAGTTTTAGGAGATATTGTTCTAAGGCCTCGAATATCCGACGAAGAGGTATTGGTTTTTAATTTGATATTCATGTTGAAATTCACATTGAATGCTTACAGTTTCACAATGTTTTCATATTGATATATTTCTTTACATGTGGTCTTTGGAAATAAATTCTAGGTGGACATAGCGCGACAGACTGTACAATTTGAATTGGAGTCATTGCTGACAAGACCAGAACAAGAACCACTGCTTATGGACATGATACATGCGGTAAGATTACAAATTAATCCATGCCATTGGAACTTTATATGTTACTGACATTTGAATTGTAGGCTGCCTATCGAGATAATACATTGGGATTGCCAAAAATCTGTCCGGAAGGCAACATACAAAAAATCGATAGGAAAATTTTATTCACGTACCTGAAGCACCATTATACACCGAGTAGGATGGTTGTAGCGGGTGTAGGTGTCGATCACAAGGAATTTGTCAGTGCTGTTGAAAAGTAATAGGAATAAATTCCAATTAAACCCCCTTGTTTAAATAATTTTGTGTACATATTGTAACCTCTTATTTTTACTCTAGATACTTTGTGGATGAGAAACCAATATGGGAAGAAGACAAAGATCTAGTTCTACGAGATAGAGCATCTAACTTCGTGGATGAGTCTATAGCCCAATACACAGGCGGTATAATTTTGGTAAGTTTTAAATAATAATGTTTTAAGTTAATTTGTCAAACCTTATGCTATTGCTATAATTTCTATTACAGGAAGAGTGTAATGTTCCTGTATATGCTGGTCCTAGTGGACTACCAGAACTATCACATGTTGTAGTGGGTCTGGAAGGATGTTCACATCAGGATCCTGATTTTATTGCAATGTGTGTCTTGAATATGATGATGGGTGGTGGTGGTAGTTTCAGTGCTGGAGGTCCTGGCAAGGGCATGTATACACGTTTGTATACTAACGTTCTTAACAGGTAATGAGATCAGACACCTGAATGTTAACATAAATATTAATTTGACCGTCTTTCAATAAGGTACCACTGGCTCTACAGTGCAACTGCATATAATCATGCTTATGCAGACACAGGCCTCTTTTGTATTCATGCGTCTTCCACACCGACACATGTTAAGGAAATGGTAGAAGTTGTCGTTCACGAGTTGGTAGCAATGGCTGGTAGTATAACGGATAATGAATTGTCGGTAGGTAGACATTTTTTTACAATACTATTAACTACGAATACTGATTTCTATTTCGATGCATGAACATTATCTTAGTAATATCTAAGATTACCTTAGGTATGACAACATTATTAATAAATATTATTCACATACGATCTTAAAGATATTTTTGAAATGAAAATTAATAAAATTTTATTGCAGAGAGCAAAGAAGCAACTACAATCGATGTTGTTGATGAATTTGGAACAAAGACCAGTTGTCTTCGAAGATATTGGTAGGCAAGTACTTGCTACTGGATCGAGGAAACGTCCAGAATATTTTATACAAGCAATTGGTGAGTTGCCCTGTGCTTTATATATGATATGTTTTACATTCAAATTTTGAATTGATGTGAAAGTGATTTTTTATATTTGTTGATAGACATGATAACCAAAGATGATGTGTTCAGAGTGGCGCGACGTCTTTTGAAATCATCGCCAAGCGTTGCAGCTCGTGGTGAAGTTCGACATGTACCATCCCTGTCCGATCTTCAAGCCGGATTACTCGATTCCCATGGTCGCATGCCAGGATCACGTAGTAGATTATCTCTTTTTCGTTAACGATTTTTTCGCAAAATCGAGTGAATTCATCTTTAGGAATATTCTGAAGAAACGTCCTAGGAACCCTTGACAAAATTTAAGTGAAAAGTAATAATTACCTTATTCACGTGTCAGTTGTCACGTGACCATACTGATAGTATGGCGTTCCATGCAATTTTTGACGAACAGTAGGATCATCGAACGATTCTTAGAGAACTGTAATAAAATATATGATTGAAATTGTCATCGGAATCGTATGACAGTTATCGTTGAATAGGAAAAGAAAATTTGAACCTAATTAAAGTAATTGCAAGATTTTCAGACGAAACTAAATTACCTGTATTTTTATTTTACGATTTCATTTGTTTATCTGTTATAGTTAATTTTCGTATTTCTTCTTGTTTACCATGCAGTTTAAAATTCGTTCAAATTTTATGAAAAGTCTGATATGTACTTCCAACGAAGAATGAACAGCTGAATAGAACAAAAGAAATTTAAATATGAATAAATCTTTTTATAAATGAAACAAATAGAAAATGGTGTTAAAGTTATCGTGAGGAAATGTCTACATTTTTATTACAAAGTCAATTTAATATTCCATGTTTTTTAACTGTGGAATTAATTCGATCATTATATCTTCTTGTTATGTCCGTTTTCTCAGCATTTTTATTAAAATAATTTTTATTGTTTATTGTCTGGACCTAATCAATGACTCCAAAATATTAAGATGAGGTTTTTCTAAATTTTGATCGTTAATGCATAATAAGCAAAAGTAACATCTTATTAGTTCCGCCACGTATAAGATGAGCAATTATCCTTAATTTGTTTTTATGAAAAACATATAGATAGTTAACAATTAATAGATATCCACTCAGGTACGCCAGCTGATTAATGATACCAACTCGCTAATCATTTACAAATAATATCTTTTACAGCAACAATCGAGGAATGATGGAGACATCCTACACGAAAGTTTGAAAAATTAAATATCTAATATGTAAACATTTTTGTATCGGATTTTGACTTCAAAAAGAATTCATTCAATTCAACTAGGGATACAAGAGGACCATTTCAAATCGTAATAAAGCCTACATTTTATGCGTATTTACTCACGAGTTTTATCTATGTAATATCAACTTTAACCACTACCATTATACGTATATGTTACCGTGAAAGACCGAAATCTGGAGAATGTCGACTTTCACCGGTGAATGTCAACAGTCACATAGTCGCTTGGTGTATGTCCGAAATATTTGCTAAATACCCTTATTTCTGACTTACACCGGTAAATGTCGACATTCACCATGCACTAATGGTGAATGTTGAACATGTCGGAGATTTATATTTTTTTCTTCGTAATTCAGTCGCTATAAAACGTCACAAGGGTGACATAACTTTTTCGCCTCTCTTTCCGTGAGGAGTGACCAAGAATTTAAATAACACAGTACATTCTAAATGAGAAAAAAAAAATAATAATAAAAAAATTACTTAATTATGTGATTCAAATCTTATTTATTGCATCAACTTAAACTATTATGACACTTTGAATTGCACAAGAATCCCTTGCTTTTACAACTGCATTTATTTGTGGAACACTTCCTTTTGCAATGACAGCGTGTATAGCCTTGCCCCCCGCTTCTCGAATTAGCTGCAGCTACTTCTCTCAATGACATTTCTTGAAAAGAAATCTCATCTATGGAAAGTAACTTTTCTTTACAAATTACGAACTGATTACGCGTGTAAAGCTGCTTGAGGGTACCATTTTTATTTGCCAGTTTATAGAAGTCGGAGTCTCCTATTCCAACAACAACTACACACATTCCGGGTATCTGTACGACCACGATCGACATCAGGGACTTGTATTCGTACAGTATCACCAATTTGAGCAGGAGGAAATTGTTTTTATGAGGTTCGTAACATTTTTGTTGCTTGCAGTATAAGATTCTCTTTCGCGGCCGCTCTTTTTATAGAAATTAACTCGTGTTTTTCAGTCAGAACTTGATGAGAAGACGTTGTAAATTGCAAGTCCTCTTCAATATTTTTCTTTGGAATATGGTTTTCGGTATGACCACCGCTCAAATTTCAGAAGTATTAACAGTTTCTTCAAGCTCTTCTTCGGTTTCAAAAGTATTGGCAATTTCTTCGAGTTGTTCTTCGGTTTTAATATTTGCGATTTGTTCGCTAGGCAAAAAAGACGATGCCATGCCTCTTTTTGCTTTAGCGCCAAACATGGCTTCATAAGGACTTTGGCGTATTGTTTCGTGGTATGTAGTGTTCTTGGCAAATTGAACAAAGGGTAAACCATCTGACCATTTATTTTTATCGTTATTGTTCATCCATGCAGTTAGCATATTCTGTATATCCTTATTGGCCCTTTCAACCGAGCCTTGGGTTCGACTGGGACGAGGCTTTCCATGAACTATCTTAACATCTTTCCACATAGCGCATATTTCGGATATGACTTGATTACTGAATTCTCTACCGTTATTTGATTGCAATATTGCTGGTGCACCAAAGGTTAAAAATATTGAAAGAACGTGGTACGCTACTTCTTTAGCTCTTTTAGTTTTCAAAGGTCGTAGCTGGACAAACTTAGTTAAATCATCTTGATACACCATTATGAACTTATATTCGCCATCTCTATGTGACTGCAGATCTATCAGATCAACTTGACATCTTGAGTTTAACACAGAACTGACAATTGGTTTCACAACAATACCTTTCTTAGGTGCACTGTGTTTCATTTGACACTGTTTGCATAAATTTAAATACAACATTACAACTTCGTATGTAATATTTTTGTATTTAACTTGCAACTCTTTAAGCATACGTGTTCTTCCTCCGTGGCCTATTCTGATGTGAGTTCCATATAGTATACTGAACAATTCTTCATTGGTAACATAACACTGTATATTCGTTTTGCCTGGTTTTAATGGTGCAATTAACTTCTCTTCACCATTAATTCTTAAAACGTCAAAACGTTTTAATCGTCTGTAGTCCAAAGGTGTTTTGCACTTGGTTTTAGCAGAAACCACTTCAGAAAGTATTTTAGAGTACTTTTCTTGAGAAAAATAAAAACAATTGTCTTCTCGTTTACCCGCAATTAATGCATTTAACTTTTCAAGAAAAAGATCACGATTTACTGCAGTATCCATTCGGTATAAATTACGGTATCGGAAAGAAAAAATTAAGAAAACGTTGCTCGCATCATCAAAGCTTGCACAAGACTGACAAAGCTGACTGACTCCCAGCAGAAGAACGGATTTGGCGGGAGAGAGCCAGTCGCCTATTTGTCGGCTCCTCTCTTTCGAACCTCCACCAGAGCATAACTGTGATTGTCGACATACACCGGTGAGGGTCCGAATGTACAAGAATTAAATGATATATTCGATCTTTCACCGACGTACTTGGTATGTGTTGACATTCATCGTTGAAAGTCGACATTCTCAAATTTCGATCTTTCACGGTAACATATACATATCGAAAAATGCAAGCGTACTTGTACTAGTTGAAACCCACTTTCTCTTATTTTTTTCCTCCTAGCACGAGGGAGAGACTTTAGGTAAAGAGGACTAAGTCTTATAGGACTTTGCCTCTTTTAAGACACAGTACACGGGGGCTGACCGTCTTTAGCAGTATTTTCTCTTTGTCACTGATCAGAAGAATGCGGTGTATTCAATTTAGAGTAGGAGCACGTATAATAGGAGAAAGAATCTCTAAGAAATATTCAAATTTGACTTTTCCTATGAGATTTAACCTCACCAGTTCATTGTTTCTTTTTAAATTTCGTATGAAAATAGTTATCGGCGTGCGCATGCGCAAAGACGCATACGCGATCAAACTTACTCGATGCCTAAAGGCAAATTTATTTATCCGTATCCTAAGAATAAAAATATTCGCTAATGCCTTGTGGATTCTTTATTGATATTAAGGGACATTGTCAGCAGATTTAATGGTGATCTCCACTTCTATTAGAGTCCATTTCAATGGACTTTATAAGATCGTTATTGTACACGAAAAGATTCGCGCTGTAAACCTTAGTCACCGTTGTGGCGTAACGATTCCAGATTTTCAAAAAGTTTTGTCCATCCTCGTGGAAACGTTTTACAGCAGTATCTGCTTCTTCCAGTGCAGATATGTAAATTTCTTCAATCTTCTGCACAAAGGTATTTATAAAGTTATTGAAATTGTTAAATAATACTATGTGTGTGAGATTAAATGTTAATAAATAATTGCGATGTCTTGACTATGTGAAGAATTAAAATAATAGTTAACGTAATGTAATGAACTTTTGGAAAGTCGTATAATTGAAGCTTTAAAGTTAATATACGAGTTAACAAACAGACTAGCATGGCTGTATCATTAGACCCTGTTAGCTAGTCGCAAAAATGATTACTGTAGGTTTCTTACTTGCTCATAATTTTCTGCAACAGAATCGATTCCCAGTGACAAATCAATTGGACGACCGACTGATATTTTTTTCGTAGGAATGGATCGCGTTTCAAATATTTTACCAAAATTGCCTATAGTATTCTTTTTCGATACCAAAGAAGATTTCTGTTTAGGCCATTCCTTGATACTCGGCCTTTTAATTTTATTTGGTACATTCAATAGATAAGCTAGATCAAAGAGACGGTGGGTTTTATTTTCTTTGTCTAAGAGCAAGAGAAATGAATGTAAATTATAAAAAGAAAATATCTAAAAAAATACCGATGCTTTTTCACATTAAATCATTTAAAAAAAATACACGAATCAAATGTCCGTATTCAAAACTTAATAATTGTTATCCTGCCTTGGTCCACTGTTAAACTTTGCCCTGAAGTTTTGAGAGACTTTTTTGATGTTATTATCGCTATGTTGTCCTTCAGCATATTTTGCAGAGATACAGTCGCCTCCATAAATTCCAATTTATTCAAAACTCCTCTTAGTTCGTCCGTAAGCTGCATGAGGGACGTTCGACAAATGTCGTAGGTTTTATCGAATTCAGTCTGCGATCATTCGATTAAATTTTCCATTAGTCAGTAATACCGTTAACATTAACTTCAAGATCGGTGGTTACCTTGAACTCGTTAAAAAGAGTTTTGACTTTTTCACACATGAGACGTTCTTCAGTTTGTATCACGTTGCTTCTATCTTCGAGAAGATTTTTATTACCGGGAAAACCGTGCATAACCTTCAAACTGTTGGCTAGTTTTACGCGCTTTTCTTGAAAATGATCGATAGTTTCTTTAAGGTCAACCGATGCACGTTCCTTTTGCACAATGATAGATGCACTATTGACCTCATGGAATTCGCGAAAATTGTTTAAAATCCACTTGAGAATATTTTTCTTCAAAAATTTCGCCAATTCTAGAAATTCTGAGGAAGAAAAAGATTTCTACGGATCGTTAATGTATGTAATAGTTATATGATTTTAACCTTTCAATTCTTGTATCCATATATTTCGACACTGGTGTAAATAGGATCGGAAGCGTAACCAAATTTTTTCCATAAAATCATTGTAATTTGACACCAGAAAGTCCTCTTTCGTATTATCACGATTTTCCAAAGATGAAAAATAATTCTAAATTCAAAATTATTACGTTTTTTTGGAATTATAGTATGCCAGATGATTCTCAAAACTGAGACAAAGAATGCCGTAGGCAGAAAGTATCTACCTTAGTCATATCTTGCACGCGAGTAAAGGTATTCCACAAATTACTGATAATAATAGAAGAAAAGAAGTTTCCTTCTGAGATGGGTGATTTCTCAGAATCAAATAATAACTTTCGGTAGTCAATGTATTTTGTCAATGGTTTTGATTTTTTAGAATTTCCCACTAAGATCTGTTCATTTTCAATGCTTGATCTGTATTCTTTCAAATTATTCAGGACATCTAACAACACTGTTTCTTTTTTCAAATTACAAATATAAATGATTGTTCCCATTCTTGGTGAAGCCTTGCTCTTTTAACTCAATTTCTATTTAAAAATTCTACCGATACCTTTCATAGAGGGAAATGGTAAACTAAGAATGCTGAAGCTCTCATTGAAGCTATAAAGAATTTCATTCCAAGTATTCAACATATTTTTAACTGATAAATTTTTCATCGCATTGTGTTTGTAGATTTCCATGTGTCCCAGCAGGTCTGTCGTTAACTTCGTGCCTCTGTCAATTAGATGACTTACTTCGTTTTCCAAAAGGTTTGTGCATTTCATTATCACACTTGATATGGTAGCATGAAAATTTCGATCTTGTATCATAGCATTGGTACTGTTTGAAGTGGAATAACATTTAATTTTATAAGTTTCTGTTAATGATACTAAAGTGTTTAGAACGTATTTATAACATTTTTTAAACCCTTCGTGTGCATAAGAGCCCTCAACGCAAAAGGCTCATCCGGGCTGAAGGTAGCAACCAATGGGCAAAAGTCATGATGTCATTAATCGGACTAAAAGCATTTTGCCCATTAGTGGCTGCCTGCTGCTCGTAGCCAGCTGGGTTTCGTCCGAATGATATATGAAATTTAAAGGTAAATTCGGACAAGTTTTTCGCGTCAGTAGATTCAAATCAACAAACCGCTCGATCGCACTGTTACGTTTTTTATCAATGTCTGCCAATAATTCTTTGAAACTTCGGTCTATTTTCGATTTTGCCTCGCGTTCTAGACGCTCGATAGATTTGACGCATACCGACAAAGCTTTACGAAATTCTTTAGCTTCGTCCGTATGAAAATTTCCACCGTCTTTGAACAAGCTAGAAAATTAATTGAATTAATAATTGTACAATAATATTATTTTATAAAATGACAACGGCAATTCTCTTACCAAATGCTCTTGACAAATAAGTCCGTTTGATCTCGCATCCATATGCATTTATTAATTAACTGATTACGATACTCTGTAAAATCAGTTTTCATACGATCTACGTGATGCTCCATTGTCGCCATTTTCTGTCGAATGATATATGATAGTATGTACGATGATGATATAATTGATCATCGAATAATCGAAGATGATTTTAAGAATGTCGGAATAATATACATATATGTATATTAGGTCGGTTTCTTTTTCTATTTGCAATCGTACCATTTTTATTAAACGATTAATCAAAGTCCTGCTTTCGGCTTTAGCAAGTTCTGTGTAATTTTTAATAAATTCTTCTTGAAAATTTTTATTCATTTCTTTTTTCTCCTGTAAGAATGCTTTCAGCTCCTCAGGCACCGAATTCATGAATTGATATATTCCCTGTGCAATATCAATATATAAAAAATATATACAGGGTGTCCCAAAATTATCTGACCAACGGGGTATGGCGGTGTTCGGGAGGCACCACTGATCATGAAAATGACCTTCCTTTTGTCCGGAAGGTCATAGTTTTTAAATGGGAGCAGGTCAAAGTTGACCGATCATAGCGAGGCGTCACGAGAAACGTAGGCACCTACGAACTCTGAGTTTTCTTCCCTCGCTTTTGTTTCTCGGTGGCTTGTTTCTTGTTTCTTGTTTCCAATAGGCATGACTTCGGCTGATGTCATCATGCCCGAAGCCACTGAGAAACAAAAGCGAGACAAGAAAACTCAGAGTTCGTAGGTGCCTACGTTTCTCTTGACGCCTCCCTATGATCGGTCAACTTTGACCTGCTCCCATTTAAAAACTATGACCTTCCGGACAAAAGGAAGGTCATTTTGCCACTGAGAAACAAAAGCGAGACAAGAAAACTCAGAGTTCGTAGGTGCCTACGTTTCTCTTGACGCCTCCCTCTGATTGGTCAACTTTGACCTGCTCCCATTTAAAAACTATGACTTTCCGGACAAAAGGAAGGTCATTTTCGTGATCAGTGGTGCCTCCCGAACACCGCCATACCCCGTTGATCAGGTAATTTTGGGACACCCTGTATAATAATACATCACTCGAGTGTAATGTTACATTATTGCTTCACTACGAATCAGAGGTTAGAATACCATTGTGTGTTCTTCAAGACGATCTTTGTGAATTTGAATTTCACGATTTCGTGTCTCGTACACTTCGCAGCGAATATTTTTACGGTGATTAGCAATAGACGTCATTTCCGATTCAATTTTTTCCTTATGCTCCTGTAATACATCCTTTTCCCATTGATCACTTAATTTCAAAGTTTGCTTCAGATGAATGGGATAATTTGACGTTATATTCTGGATCAAACTGTATGAAAATTTTTAATTTAAATTCTGTAAGGTATTTATCTTCCGTATTTGAATACTCACGCAGCTATTCCGTCTGCGATTGACACGTTAAAGTGCAGTAAGTGCAAATTAATCTGATCAATTAGCTTATTATAATTTTCAATATCTTTTGTAGCATTTTCATTTTTCAAATAATTATTAGATGCATCTTCTACATCATGTTCATCAAAGTGTTCAAGTACAAATTTCTCTATGTCTAATAATAGTATCGGAATTTCTTCTTCCGCCATTTTTTTGTATTTTTTAATTTGGAAATGCTTATCTTGAAAATCGTTTATCCATCTTATAAAAGAAATGAGAAATTAATAATAACATTATTAGAAGTGGTAAAAGTATTCAACTGAAAATGACCCGTTTTCTTCGACGCGGTTTAATGTATAAACTCGGTTTAACTATGCTGTTAGCCAATGAGACACTTGTGCTTTTAAGATAGACGGAGTTTACGCATTGAATCGCGTTGAAATAACGCGCTAATGAAATATAATAATACTTTTCTTCTATTTGACGTAAAATCTCATAAACTTGTGTCAAACGTTTCTCCAAATTCGTTTCGATATATTCCTGTCTTGCATTTTCCAAAGCTACGTTCAATTTAACCTCAAATTCTTTATGTACTTTCCCATACTTCATATTTACATTTTCCACTGCTGTTGTGAGCTCATTTTCAATATCCGTTGCTCTAGACACGTGTTTTGTTCGCAGTGAAATAAAATCTTCAAAAAATTTTCGAATGTTCAACAACGCTTCTTGTATGTTTAGCACAGTATCGTACCGTAAATTCTGAAAGTAAATCCTAAACTTAAAAATTGTACAAAGTAACATTTGTGGTTAGAATTAATTTATCACATATTTTTGGTAAAAAAAATGACAGCATAGATTGAAATAATGAAAATTTGAAAATATAACATTGACTTATAATATGTTTCATTGATCAAATAATTTTCTTTTGTGCATCGGGTATCACAAAATAATATTAATTCGTGTAATAAATACCTCCAATTCTGTCAAAATCTCTTTATGCTTTTTTCTAATGTTTGGCAACATCTCATCTACTACCAGATTATCTTGTTCGTAATAATCAGAATCCACGTTGGCTAATTTGAAACTTTCAACTTGATTTTCAAAGCAATTACAAATATTAAGTAAAGCAACATTGCACTTTTTGATAACACGCTTAAAAGATTTGTCTGAAACGTAAGAAAATATATTAAATCGACTTTTCATGAAAATTCTTAGCTATGATATTAAAGTTATCATAATACCAAATCTTGCTACGATTTTATCAATTTTCTTAAAATGTTCGAAAAAAATGTTTTCGGAAAATAATGCTTCATCCAGCTGCTTTATTATTTCATTCAGCTTTTCAATCGTGATTCTCAATTGTGGTATAATTTCTGCAAGCTCCTTCTGGTCTAATAATATTATGTCAGCATCCATAAGTATTTGTTTTTCAAATCTACCGGTTCGAAGGTTTTTCATAATAGACAATAATATTAAAGACAAAATAAAAATTTCACAATTTTTTAAAGACTATTACTCTAAAACTTGTAAAGTATCCGTACGAATGATTTCATTGCGTTCCGATTTCAACGCATCAATCCAATGTTTCATTTTGAATCTCGAAGTGTCGAAGAGTAAACGGATTTGCAAAAATAGATCTGCATAAGTCCTATGATTTTGTAATACCATTCGATTGTAATTCTATTAAAATAATTATTAATACATATATATATATAATAATATATAATATTAATATTTCCATTCCAATTTGTAACTCAAGTATTTCAAGTATAACGTGCAAAAAAGCAAACCAGTATTTCTTTTTCTATACGATACTGTATCTCTTCCGGAAAGGAATAAAAAATATCCAATAAAATTTTCGAATATTTTCTCATTAACGGTTTCGCACATATGAGCCGTTTTTGCTCAATAGATTGCACTGCGTCAAAAAAATGATCGAGAACCAGTTTATGTTGGTATACTGAACATTCAACCTGTTGACTAGCATTAGCGAAAGCTTCTTCGGTGACATCGGTAACCTTAAAAAGAAAAAAAAATCAAAATCATAAATCCAAATGTGAATTCAAATGTGAATTCAATTTACGTGAATTTCACGTAATTTCATTTGCACGATTTCGATTTCTTCGTAGGTGGTAATGATTGCCCTTTTTTGTTGTTCACTGATTTTGCGAAATTCATCATTACACCCATTGTGAATCGTAGCCAATTCTTCGAGCATAGAATTAAGTGTAAATTCATGTGCATCTTTCTTCCTTTGCTGTAGATTTTTTAAAATTTCCGATGCGCCAGATTTTGATTCTATAATATTGAAGACATTTTTTTTAAGTGCATATAACATATTCTACATCTAACGTAATATTATACGAACGATTTTTTTTCTTACTGATACAAGACGTCACTTCCTTAACTGTCCATACGTCTTGTAACATTTTATACGTTTCCATTGATTCAGGCAAAATTTTGAATCCAAGGAAATATTTTTTCACGAGTGTCAACGATTTATTAAGAATATGAGATTCGATACTTTTTAATCTGCATTTTCTCTGTAGCTATATAAACATATCATTCGTCAAGTTTTAAGAATACGTCTAATATTATTGCAGTACCGAATTACTAAAGAACGACAAGACTGTACAAAAAAAATCTTTCAAAGCAAAGATGAATAAATTAACTTGGGTAGTTACATTGTTAGGTTGCGATTTTTTTGTAATCATCGATGAACCAGGCTTGTGAATTAAATTAACGGTTTTATGTTCGTAAAATGACATTGCATAATATTGTGTACACGGTTAGCAAGATAAATACAATGAAGTTAACTGCTCACTTTTCTTCTCTCGTCTTTTTCGTCCCTTTCGTCCGTTACGATTCAGTTTCAACTTCTCTGAGATTCAATCACGTAAAAATCTTCTAGGACACCTTTCCCCTTCTGATGTTAGTTTATTGTGACTTTGCAGCTTTTTTAAAATAACTATAAAAAAATCAATAAGTGCAATATACACAATCTTTAATACAACAATGTTATACTTTATTTAGTGCAAATACCGCAATATTACTTACAATGTATTAGAATGGTATCCCAACTATTCACTAAAAACTTACAAATAATTTGCACAAAAGAATTGTAAATTTAAGTGAGGTTTCTGTAAAAGTACTAAAATATACTAAAGATATTTCCACCAAAATGTAATACTCACCAGAAATTGACTATAACGTTACCAAAGTTTTAGTGAATGTAAATCCACTAGTGTGGTTATCATGAGTACATTCAGAAACCTCGAAAGAAAGATGATCATTTGTATTGATGGAAAAATTAATCTAACTGTGAAATTAAATATGGTACCTTACTTATTTCTGCTCCAAAAACATTTTTCTAGAAAAATTATCCTTATAGTTTCTCATTTCGCGGGTTCGGGAATTGTCGAGACATCCTATTGGTAGATGGGTTAGAAAAGATCAAAGCCTTCTCAAGAATAAATACAGAGATGAGTGGGGAAATGCACAACGCTCCGGTTTTAGGCGATACCAAAAGCATGGCGCTAAATCGTAGCGGCGAGTCCAGGAATAGGATTTCGTGATCATCGCCTCTGTCGATGTTACAGATTTCGCGTAGCCGCGCGGGTCATGATCATCGTTCTAGCCGATATTGCAGTCAGCGAAATGAATGGATTGCTCGGTGGTGGGGAACAAGTTGCGGCCCCTCACAAACCGTTCTTGACAATTGTGTATGGACGTAATGCGCAAACAAATGTGTATATTCAAATAAATTTCAAAGTTATAAAAAATGCATAGAAGTATTGGTTTTCACTCTTTACCTCTTATCATGCCGAAAATGAACATTAAAAAATGAATGACGAAATTCGTTGGTAAATGAAACGACCGAGAACAGTTTAAAGAGAAATTTTGAAATATCATAGATAAATATCTATAGAAAATTTAATTTAGAATTAAACGAGCATCGTGGCTGAGTCAATAACCTGTCAAGGTTCCTCTCTTTTAACCTTTCTACGTTGCCCAAAGTTATATTTTATTCTCTTTTGTTCGTCCACGTAGAGAAGGGTGGCGCGAAAGTTCTTAACTGGAGTGCATCTTCATATTATTCTGCTTATATGTAAACTAAGCGAAACGACAGTAGTAAGCAGTTGAATAAACGATGAATTTCTATAAATACAACTTCCGAAACAAGTAAATCATATACGTGTTTTTGGCATCTGGCTAGTGCACCCGGTTACGAATCGGGAATAAAGTAAGTGAAACGACAATAGTAAGCAGTTGAATAAACGATGAATTTCTAGAAATACAACTTCCGAAACAAGTAAATCATATACGTGTTTTTGG